AAATGCCTCGGGTCCTCCTTAGTTTTGGCAAGCAAGGTTATGTCATCTGCATAACACAGGTTGTTGATAAGTGTTCCTCCAATCCTGATGCCACATTCCTCCTCTTAGAGCCCAACCTCCCAAGTGATCTGTTATTCATATAGATTGAAAAGGTATAGAGATAGGATGCATCCCTGGGGTACACCTTTCCTGATTTTGAACTACGCAGTGTTTCCTTACTCTGTTCATCAGAACAGACTGCCCAACTGGTCCAACTATAGGTTTCACATAAGCACAATAAAGTGTTCTGGGATTCCCATTCTTCTCAAGAAGAAAAAAAAAACAATCAACCTGACAACTCAATAACATCTCAAAATATATCCTTATACTCAGAGAAAATGCAATAAAAAGAAATATGTATTAGTAAAAACCTTGATTTATACTCAGCTTGAAAACAGATAAACTCTCTTCTAAGAGAGTTTCTAAGTGCCTGTTGTTGTACTGTTAGGTATCGTTGAGTCAAGAACAACTCATAGAAATCCTATGAACAACAGATCTGAACCCTGTCCTATCCTATGTCATCCTCATCACCTCCGATATATCTGATCCCACTGCTATAGGCGCTGTGTTAATTCACCTGGCTGAAGGTGTTCCTCTTTCTCTGACCCTCCTTCTTTCCAAGCATGATATCCATTTCCAAGAAAGACACTCTCCTAACAACAAAGCACGTGAGACAAAGTTCACCAGCTTCACCTCTAAGGATCAGTCCGGTTGCACTTTTTCCAAGAAATATATGTTTGTTCTTTTCACTGTTCATGGGATATTCAGTACTCTTCTTCTCTAATACCGCCATTCAAAGGCATCAATTCTTCTTCTGTCATTCTTATTCTTGTCTGTCTCTCAGCTGCATACTAGATGACTGGAAAGACCATGGCCTGAATCAGGTGCACCTTATTCTCTAAACTGACATCACTGCTCCTCATTAATTTGGAGAGGTCTCTGATATGAGACTCTCCAATGCTCATCTCCAGACTTCCTGACTGCTGGTACCAAGGGTGTTGACTGTAGATCCAAATAAGATGATCCTTGACAATTCTAATCTTTTCTCCATCAATCATGATGTTGTCTATTGGACAGTGGTTAGTTTTTTGTTGTTTTTTTTTCTTGATGTTGAAATGTAATCCATATTGAAGGCTATAGTCCCTGATCTTCCGCAGTAACCACTTCAAATACTCTTTGCTTTCAGCAATGCCTAGGATTATATATCTAAGATGATACATTTAAGAATGCACAATTTTTACCTTTTACTTGAGTTCCTGTCTATTTATAATAGCTTCATTGGGAGCTAAACAATAGGATCTAAATTAGAAGGCATAAAAGCACAAATATGAAATTATTTATAATCATAATATCATGAGGTTTCATAATTTTCCTCTCTTATATTTTAAATAAAATTTGGAAAAAAAACACCTTTTCATTTTGAAAATAAAGTAAAACTAAACATTCTTACTTGGCTTAGTGTGTTCTATTCATCATCTAGAACATGTCACAATCTTGGAGACAATGTTTACCATCACTTTTATTTTCTGAGTAGCTGTAGCTGAACTGGTGGATAATCAGATCAGAGATACACTTGCCAGTTATTGCCTAAGCTCATCTTCATCCAAAACATGGAATTGAAATAACAATATATTCATATCAATCTCCTTCATGTGGGCTGTAACATTGTATCACTTCTTTACCCCTCAGCAGTCAACTATTACCTTTTATTGGATACTTGATTTTTTTAAAATGCAATTAAATTTTCTGAGTTCTCAAGAATTCATTCCACTTGGGATTACAATTTCTTCAAATACCCTAATCAGTAAAAAGTACTTCCTATTTCTTCACCTTGGCTGTTGATATAGGAATCTACACTATCCCAGATAACTTTCATTACAATAAAGGTGTATCTTGAACATACCTTAATGGAGGGGGTTTTTTCACTACAGCACACTGTTGTTGGCAAGCCTGGTTCTCCTGAATGAGTTCTTCCCACCTATATCATAGTCACTCCTGATCGCTGTGACAGTCAGACACACACAACACTGAACACCCGGTACTAAAGATACTGCCTTTCTGCTCATGAACTGTGGACTCTGCTTTACTCTGACATGGCCATCTCCGAGAGGGGGTAAAAAATCCCACAAAACTTTTCCCCCCAAGACCCTAAAACTCCGACTTATTTTTAAAAATACACTGCTTTCTAACATGCCATGAAACTGAGAATGTCTTCCATAAATTTCTTCCAGTACATGATCAAGTTCATCTTCAATTCTCCTTCTGAATACTATGCAAGAACCTTGGCCTTCCTCTTCAGAACTATGTTCATAGTGCCAGAAACAAAAATGTGCAGCAAAGAGAAACAATTTACAGTAACTTGCTGCCTCCAAGCCATTAGATATTGAAGTGTAGACATAAAATGTTTTGTGTCCCTTTGAACATCAACTTTCAAAGTTTTTTTTAAAAAAAGCCAAACCAAAAAACTACACTTTTGTTTATCAAAAGACTTCACAAAAGCGTGATGACAAACTACTGACTAAGAGAATGTCTTTAAAAACCACATGTCTGGTAAGAATCTCATAACCAAAATACATACAAGACTTCAACAACTTTACAACAAAAAGACAAAGAGCCAAATCATAAAATGGACAAAAAGACTGGAACAGGCATTTCACCAATGAGGACATTCAAATGTCCACTAAACAAACAAAGAAACGTTAAGCATCATTACCCATGAGAGGGATGAAAATGAAAACTCCAATGAACTAATACGACATGCCCACTAGGGTAGCTAGCTGGCAATACTAACAATCTAAAACCTCAGAAGATAACAACCATTCTCAAAGACGTGGAAAAATGGAAACCATTATCCACTGGTAGCAGAAAAGTAGTTATTGTGTTAAATAGTAAAACACTAAAAATTGAAATACCACATGATCCAGCAATTCCACTCCTAGATGTATACCCAAAAGATTTGAAAGTAGACATTCACAATGAGATCTGTATACCAATGTTCACTGCAACTCTATTTACAACAGCCAAAAGGTGGAAACAACATGACCATCAAAATATGAATGTGTACATATTATAGGAATATTAACCAGCTAGTAGGAGAAATAAAAGCTTGATACATGGTACAGTATAGACAGAGTTCAAAGATATTAAACAAACTAAATAAGTCAATCACAGAAGGACAGATATTGTATATGTTAACGTGTACAAAAAGGCAAGAAAAGACAAATGTATCAAGAACAAAATTAGTGGTTACCAGGACCTAAAGGGAAAGCAGGGAGGGGTAAATGGAAAAGTATGGAGTGGTAAATGGTGATGGAAATACTATGTTGATTAAGGGTAGCGTTACACAGCTAATTATTTTAGGTGCTGTTGAGAAGGTATGTACACCTATACAAAGATAACTGGCAAAAGTGACAGACATATTTAAAACAGTGACTAAAAGCAAGCAGCTGCTGATGCTGTTGATATGCAAACAAATACCTCATGGGATTTGGTTCTTTGGTTTGAAAGTTTAAGATCATGGGTTCTTGGTACATCTAGTTACCTAGCCTAATAACTTGTTCAGTGTTTCTGTTCTAATTCAATGATCTACATGGAATAAAAGCAACTCACATGATGAGAGAGAAACTTTAGGAAGTGGTGAGCTTATGGCAAAGAGAGAGGAACAACTCAGAAAAAGTGGTTCACATTTGGAAAAAAATAATTAATGTTACTAAGTTATACAGGTAGAAACTGTTGAAGAGATGTATGTTTTACTGTGTGCATTCCTAACAAGCAGAGATTTTTTTCAAAGTACGAACTGTTAAGGTGAAAAATGTTCTAAGCTTAGAAAGATGTCTGTTGCAAAAAAAAACAATTTGAAAAACTAAATGGTTAAGGTTAGTCCTTGGTACTGATCTTTTAAATTCAATGAAAATATAAAGTATCCAAAAGATGGAATAAACAATTATAAATGTGAATTATCTTTTTCATAGGGAAGAAATGATGGGGAGTAGTCACATCTACCCTCTAAAACGGTCTATGTTATTGATTGAGGGTTTCTAATGGCATTGTAACTTCTTTGAAAAATACAAAGCCAATTTCATTACAGGGTATGGGACAGAGGGCCCCTGGGAACTGATGAAACCAGGACACTGGGAGAAAGGCCCTGGAACTGACCCCTGGGCATGGTCCACGAGAGACTTGGCTAGTTCCAAAAATAGACAAGGATCTAGGGTGAGGAAGAGAAGAAAACGTATTGTCTGAACTGCCTGGGTGTGAAGAAGGAGGAATTTAGCCACGTACTATGCACTCCTAATTTCTCAAGGGGGAACGACGTATGTTTTCCTCTCTAATCACTGCTCCATAAACACACACCCAATTAAAACAGTCAGACTCCTAAAGGTACTTTAGGAATATAGGATTAGGATCGCAGTAACCAATAACACATTTCAAAGACACCTGAGCTTGGAGCTCACTCAGGCTTCCGGGACTGTGAGCCCAGTCCCACGGGGGACAATCCCAGCTTTAAAGAAAATAAATGCCTTGAAAGGGTGAGAAAGACAGAAGAAGTCTGCAAGGCCCCTGATTTGGGGACTAAGGTTATGACAACAACTATCAACATGCCTGAAGTCTCTCGGGATTTGAGGAGGCCGAAGAGGCGGGAAATCGCGTGATTCTCCCGCTGAGACCTCAGGATGTGGAGTGGCTGCTGAGGTGGTCAGATAAAGGTTAAGAAACCTAATCGCCAGAGATTCCAGGCAGGGCCTGCCGCATCACGACCTTAGCCACCGCGCTAACTCAAGCCTCTGCGGCTCGAGCGCGCGCACCCACAGCCACACCAGGTCAAGCACCCTATCTCCCCACCCCACTTAATGTTGCCGGTGGGCTCCCTCTCCTTCCCGAGCCTGGACCCCCAACCTCCCACCCTTGGCCCCTCTCCTGCCCCCCTCCCTGCGGGCTCCCAGGCCCCTCCTTCGCCTTACACTGAATGGGCGGGTAGCAACTGGGGTCCTCGCCACCAGGCTGGCAGCGACTGGAGAAGGCGCTGCGCGGAGTCACGTAGTTGCTGGGGAAGATGCCCACCCGCTGGTTCAGCTGCCCGGTCCACCAGCCTTCGTCGCCGGACACCTGCGAGTCCTTGGACAGCACCTCCACCACGTCGCCCAGCCGCAGGGTCAGCTCGTCCTCGCCGGCCGCCTCGTACTCGAACACGGCCGTCCAGTAGGGCATTGGCGCGTCGGAGCCCAGCTCTCTGGGGGCCGCCGCCGCCTCCTCCTCCTCTTCCTCCTCCTCCTCGGCCCCGGTCCCGGCTCCATCCTCCCCTGGCGGGGCGGCAGCGGCGGCGCTCGCCAGGCAGCCGAGAAGCGCTCTGGGGGGCTCCATGGAGCGGCCGATCCATAGGGTGCGGGGCTGCCGCCGCCCGCAGGAG